GAGGTAACTGCTTGAGGATTCTCCTGAACTCTCCAGTTTAAACCCCAGGTCAAGAGCACTCTCCCAGTTGTTGGTGAAACCCATATATATACACAGTGTCTTGTTACTATGGAGTACAGAGATGAAATGATACACTACATCAGAACAAAAAGGTAAATTATTTACAAATGAAAGATCAAATAGAGGTGGTCTCCTCATCTGCAAGAACATATTTAAAAGCTCTGTAGAATAATTATATCTAAGAACAGGTGGGAGGAGAAAGAAGACAGCTAATGAGAATTCATACTTAATTAAACTAAATATTCAAGAGTAAAGGCAAAATAAAGATATTTTCAGACATATAATTCCTCAGGTCATTTACCCAGGAGTTATTCTGCAAAACAGAATGTCATGTAGTTTACCAAAGAAGTGCATGAGAAGGTAAGTTAGAGTAGTATGGCTTTATTTAAACATTTTAAAATAAAAATCATAGTAGGGCACTATCATCACCTTGCAGTTCTTCAAAGTTTTTGTCCATTGGTGAATCATTATTTTTCCACGAGTTTTAGCAAAACAAATTCAAATTTCACAAATTTTTGCTAGGTTTTTGAAATTGCATGAAAACTGAAACTTATTTTCTGTTGCAATTGTAATTAAATCTCATTTTCTATTATAAATAGAAATATTATAAATAGGAAACCGATCGCATGCCTATAATCCCAGCACTTTGGGAGGCTGAAGTAAGAGGACTCTAAGTATGAGCCCACCATGGGCTCCTTTGTGACTTGATCAGATCCTCTGTCTCTGTCTTTGAAAAAAAATTTTTTAAGTCTGGGGATATAGTTGAGGTCAAAAGCCCTGGGTTAAATTCACAGTACCTGAATAAAAAAGAAAGAAAGAAAGGAAAAAACAGTGGAATACACACACACACACACACACACACACACACAGAGGGAGATTTGTTATGGGAATGTGGCCACATGATTATGGAAACCAAGAAGTCCCTTCTTATGCCATCTGCATGCTGGATAAACAGGAAAGCTGGCAGATGATGCACTCCAAGTCCAAAGGGCAGAGAGCAAGAAGGGCTGGTGATGTCATTTCTGGTTTGAGGACAATGGAGGGTGGAAACTGGTGTGAGCACCAGAAACCCCTAAGGGAACCAGGAGCTCCATGACAGCCAGAGCAGATGGCCCAGCTCCAGGAGAGAGACCAGAATTCTTTTTTCCACCTTTTTGTGGAATCCAGGTGGGCTATCCACAGACTGGGTGATGTTCACCAACACAGGTGAGGGCAGATCTCTTTTATGGGCTCCCTTGGCTGGAAACATCTCACTGATATAATGTCTTGCTAGCTGTCTAGACATCGCTTAACTCAGTTAAGTTGACACAACGTTAACCACCATGATGGAAATGGGAAAAAATGGTGAGTCTTAAATTGGTAAAATGCCACAGTATATTTAACTAAATATATTTTTTAAATAATAACTTTGGGTTATAAATGTGGGGAAACAAAATTCTTGTCTAAAATAACAAGATGAGGATGTATCAGGACTGCTCACTGGCCATAACATGTTCAGATTTTTATTATTGTGTGGTGGAAAACAAATACTAAAAGAAATAGATTTGAATTAAAAATATATTTATTTACTTATATTAATTTATGAGTAAGCCAAAAGACAATATTTATCTGCTAAATCCAAAGAAAAAATTTTTTTGCTTAAATTCTTTTATTGACACATTTGAGGTATACAATACGTTTACATTTATCATTGGGTGCTTGTACCTTTACATGACGTATCTTGGTTAATTTTTCCCCATTTCCCTGTCCTCCCTTTACCCCCCTCCACCCTTCCCTATTTACAGAGACTTTGTTGCCATTTTTTCCTTTTCTTGTAATTTTTCCTTTCCCTTCTTTCCTTTCCCCTTCCTCTCCACTTTCCCTACCCCTTTGGACCTTTTCTTCCTATTTCAAATTATCAATTAGTCATTTTAATCATTTTAATTCTTATTTACACTTCCAGTTTCCCACACCAGAGAAACTATTTGGTATTTACACATGTGTGTCCTATTTATTTCACTTAAGAGTAAGGCCTCAATATGCATCCATTTAGCTATAAATGTCTCTAGTTTCTCTTTCTGTTTCTAGTTTTCTCTTTGCTGAATAGTACTCCATTTTATAAAAAAAAAATGATGAAAATTTTTAGCAAACTTCTATCAGAAATAGGAAGGTACAGATTTTTATAGAAGTATATTGGATATTTGCTAAGTATATGGAATTAGGTACCCAGTTAATTTTTCCTCAAAAATCCTTATTTTCTTCCTTTCCTTATTTTCCTTTCTTCCTTCCTTATTTTCTTCCTTTCAAAAAGAGCACTCATAATTAACCAAAAACTAAGAAAATTAAATTGCAAGCAAATAATTATATCCTGAAAAATGATAGATATCTTACAAAAATGCATAGGAATCACAATGATACCGACATTGAATTTACAAAGAGAACAAGTAGGCCTGCTGTCCCCACCCTATTGAACACGATATCAGTGGCTTCAGTCATTTTAACAAAAAAGAAAAGGGAATGAGTTTGTGATGGTCAATCTTGATTATCAAATTGGTTGACTTAGGAGACACTTGGGAGATTAGTAAAGCCTACTTCTCAGGATGTCTGCGTGGGTCATGGGGCTGTGACCTTGGGGATTATATCTGGTCACTGGAACCTTTTTACTCAGATGTTTTTTCCAGGTGTCATGAATTGAGGAGCATTCCTCTGCCATGATGTTTCCATCCTGTTGTCATCCAACCATGAGCTGACATCTTTCCATGAGCCATACATTTAGGAAACATTGTGTAATTAGGAAACCAAAGGCAATCCAACATTATGATAGAATTATGATCATTTGAAAAATAGTCCTATATATGTAATCTTCCATAAGAAAACATAAAAGAAAATGGGATTTAATTGCAATTGCATCAGAAAATAATTTTTAGTTTTCGTGTAATTTCAAAATTCTAACAGAACTTTGTGGAACTTGAATTCCTAAACTCATGTAGATAAACAATGGTTCACCAGTGGGCAAAAAACTTTGACAAATAACAAGGTGATGATAGTGCCCTACTATTATGTAAAAATGTTTAGCAACTATGCTGGTATTATTTCAATACAGGTATAAGCAAATAGAAAATAGCCAAGAGCTAGATCATGGGTGGAATACCTGTATAGCAAAGAGACTGTAACAGTGAATGATAAATATCTGAGTGTGTCTGAGTGGAGCCCATAAAGATACCTTAAAGAGCATTAGCGTCTGCTTATTAGATCAAACACATTGATGTTCTATATCTTTACTATTTATTTTGTCACCTTGAGATGAATTATTAAATATATTACTTATTGCTGGATTTTTTCATTTATCAATTTTATAGCAATTTTAGTACCTTTTCATGTTGAATAGTCCTTTATGCTTTAAAAGGATATATTGTCAAATATCACAAATTTCTTTTAGGGTTTTTGTGGCCTATTTTTTTCTATCCTTTTACGTTTATGTCTTTACAATATGAAGTGTAAATTATAAAAGCATCTGGTATTTAAATTTTAGTGTAATTTGATAATTTTTGTGTTAACTAAGGATGTTTATTTCAACCATTTTTGGAAATAGTAACAATTTATACATGATTGAGATCAATTATTTTTTTAACATTTTCTTAAATTGCCATTAAAAACTTGCTTTAGATTTTGCAAAGCAAACACAAATAAATTAAATCAAGTGAAATTTCTAGAGATGACTATATTAATTTCAGTTGTATGTACATAACAAATCAGAAATAACTTTTAATGTATTAGCTCTAAAGAGCTATTAACACTGCTTGGACAGTCCAATAATCTTGAGGTTCACAACCCAGAAATTAACATTTCTGTCTTTAATTTTTAGAAGTTTTAGATCAGAAATGGTGAGATGTAAAAGTTCTATATTCTGAATATAAATAAATTTAAATTTAGCTTGGTACCACTTTTTACATTTTAAGTTTTCATATATCTATATATAAAGTATAGCTCTTGAATATAACCAAAAGTCATTTGATAATTATTTCTTGTTAATAAATAACACACACTGAAAATTTTGTCAATCTCAGTCTCGTGAGAAACTTTTCAAAATTAGCAATTTAAGCTGGGTGTGGTGCCACATGCCTGTAATCCCAGCACTCAGGAGGCTGAGGCAGGAGGGCACTGCAAGTTCATGGCCAGCCTGGGCCACATAGTGAGTTCAGGGCCAGCCAGACCTACACAAGGAGACCCTGTCTCAAAAAAAAAAAAAATTAGCAATTTATTCCATTGAAATTATGTATTTCTTACCTATGGTGTACCAGGCTAATAATTATAAAAAGAATATGCATTTTAATAACTATTTTTAACTTTGTACCTTTGTACAATAATAATAAACTTGACTTGGCTAAACAATACATTTTTGATGTAAATGAAGTACAAAAAATAAATGTGAAAATTATCTTTTCAACTAAGATTGTGTATCTCAATTCACCCAGCCAAAAATAAATAAATAACCAGAATGGGTTGGCAATCTTTCTTATCCTCACTTCTGTGTAGTAAGATGTCATAGAGGAATTGGTAGTGGTGTGGTGTTTACTTAGAAACATTGCAATCTGAAAATATTTTTAATAGTTGACGGTGAAAACCCAGGTTTCCTCTGAATTTTTGGAGTGTGGTCGTGGGTGTAAGAAACTTTTACTGTAAACATGTAGTAACATTTTTGTGTCTTTTGTATTTGCTTGTCTTTTCCTTAATTTATCTGTTTATCCAAGTTATCCAAAGTGTGGATCTGAGCGGAATGCAGAAGTATTCAGAATTGCTTTCTACTTTGTTTACTTCATGGATGAATTTGAGCAAAATCTGACTCTGTCAAGAAGAAAGCTTATGAAAGAATAAAAATCAGCAGGCCTTAGCACACTTTGCCAAGGAGGTGACAGCTTTCTTCACCAACCGATTAAAATGAAGAGCCAAACAGAATGTAATAGTGTTTTATCCATAAGGATTTTGGTAACAAATTTTATCGCTCTGGTTGTTAAAGATCTGAAAATTTTTATAAGATGGGAAATAAAAATTGTTGAACAGTGGCTCTGTCACTCCCCAGTATCTCTGCAGCCAGTTGGGGGCAGACTGAATTGATAGCTCTCTGTCAATGAAAACAAAAGAAGAAACAATAATATATTAATACTGCTGCTGATGATGATGATTGTGATAGTAGACAATAAATACAGACTTGTTTCTGAGTCAGGCTTTTGGGGAGAATTCTTGCATGAATCAATTTTACTTATTTCTGAGAGTTTATAGACTAATGATATTAGCTCTATTTTATAGAGTATACTTACAATCCACACATACCGTTCTCCTTAGTTTAAAAAAGCTAAAATATTTTTGCAAACATTTTATGACATTATTATGTTCTTTGTGACTACAAAAGAGGACAAACTTAAAAACACACATTAGGAAACCTAAAATCATTGACTCACATTAAGCTAGGAAGAAACTATTATGAAGACAGTCACATAAGAGGAAGAATTTGGATTATAAAATTTTCTAATTATAAAGGTAGTATGTGTTATAAAATAATTTAGGAGTGCAGAAAAGTGTGAAAAGGAAAATATCACTGATAAGAAATTTCCATCTATCCAGAATAACCCGTTAACATTTACATATATCCTTTCAGTTATGTTAATACATAGGTAATTTTTAAAGATTTCTTTAAAAAATGAGTACGTTGATTAAAGCCTTGTTTTTTGTTTTTTGCTTATTTTGTCAATTTTCCCCAGCAGAAAATACCTTCAAGACTACTCTTCAGACACCCCATACCCAGTACCATAACAATGTCATAAACACTTCTCAGCAATCCCTTATTACTGGACTTTAGATTACTTCTGCACTTTGTAATAACCATTCCTGCTCATAAATCTGTGGCTGTGCCAAATAGTTTTCCTTAAGACAAATTCCAGGTCGACATTTTGGCTGTGATACCTGAGTCTTTGTCACTGGCTGTCTCCAGTGATTACAATGGAAATGTAGTGCGATACCTACCTTAGAAGGACTCTGAAGTCTTCAAGTTTGAGCGTCCTGATTATCGCTCCTGCTGTTATTGGGCTAGTGCAGTGGTCGACATTTCTGTGGAGCCTTACTGGATTCTCCTCCCATCTTCCAGGCTTCCTGCTCCTCCCTGCAGCCCCTCCCCTTCCCACATGGAACCTGTCCCTGCCCTCTCTGGAATCTGCATCCTGGGCGCAACCAAGAAAGCTCTCTCTCCTGAAGACCTTGCTATTCACCACCCTTGGGAATCCTACAACACGGTCCTTTCCCTCCCTATCACTGACCTCTGTCTCAGATAACAGACGCAGAGCGGGCAGCTTGCTTGTTTCCTGATGGTCCATCAATGCCCCCCTGCAATGGACTCGACGGGCTAGCCCAGCTGGGCATCACTTCTAAGTCTGACAGTTTGTACAGAAGAGGATGATGCTGAGCCCCAGGGAGCAGCGCTGCTTACAGCCACGAGCCGCCTGACAGTCTCCTCTCGCCGAGGAATCGCCATCCTGCGCAGATAGCGGGGCCACCAGAACCCCAGGTGTTATTGTCTATTTTCCCCCATATTTGCCCATATTGTGTTGGGTTTCTTTCTTGATTTTTAAACCCAATTGAAAGACGACAATCATACCTCACATTTCAATTTGAATTTCTTTGATTACTAGTAATATTGTACATTTTTGTATCTCATTTTAAAAATTATGTTTGGAAAAACAATACATGCTCCTGAGGGGGAAAAACCCCTTTAAACCACTTAGAAATACATAGAGAAATGAAAAATCTGTCATAATTTCACCTGCAGAGCAAACTTTTTTAACATGTTGGCAAAATTTCTTTTACAAATATACCTTATACATGGGAAAATCATTTATGCCTGAATACAGTTATAATCTACCTCATTGTTTTTAATAGCTACAAAAGGTTTTGCACAATGAATATCATAATTTATTCAGCCAGTCCTATATTGATGAACTTCTAGTTGTTTCCAATTTTTTGCTTGACTAACAGCAGGACAACAGATATCATTTTGTATAAACCTCAGTGCACTTTTGCAAGTTTTTCTGCAAGATAAATTTCTAAAAGTGCAATTATTGAGTGAATAAATAGGTTTGCATACTGAGTTTTGATACAATGAAATTCTTCCAGGTCAGAAGGTTTTGTCTGTTATATTCTCTGCTTTCATTCTGTTGCCTAAAACACTACTTGGTGCAGAACTCAATGAATATTTTTGAGTGGATGCATGAAAATATTTGACCCAGGCAATGAGTGAGAATCTGTGGTCCTCACTCAGATGCTACCCAGCCCTGTCACAGCCAGACTCCTACTGGGAAGGAGAGAGACTCCCACACTGCCCTGCCTGGTTTATATAACCACCCTTCCTCAGTTAAGAAGACAGAAGAGTTAGTCCATGGTCAGGAGCCCACATCTGTGTGGCCAGAGAATTCAGAGACTGGGAGCACCCAGCTGAGCACAACATGAACAAATAAACCAAAGAAGTGGACAAACAAAAACATCAAGAACCAAAAGGAATTATTTACCATAATAGATAAACCAGTTAATCAGAACACAATAGGAGTCCTATAAAATCATTAGCCGAATTATTTAATTGTAAGATGAAAATATGGTTAAACTTTTAGAAATGAGAGACTTTAGAGTCTGGAGTTAGAAAATTGATATTAATTAAATTTATCCTTACAAATAATTCAAAATTTTTTGGTTTTGTTTTTAACTATCTTGTAAGTTGGAAGAGACATGAAGAAAACCCTAGGAGGAATGGATAAAGACTGGGTAGAAAGGAGCAATTGGAACTGGAGGAAGATAAAGTACATTAGTTTTTAATAGAAACCAAAAGTGAAATACTTATATAAGAAATCCTGTTAATCACAGAGGAGAGGCTTGGATCTAAGCAGAGGGCTGGGCAAAGTGAGGGAATGTGAAAATCCTGATGTGCCTCTCATAAAACCTAGAATGTCACAAAAGCCAGCATAAAAATCACCTCTCACACAATATGTACAACCTGGACAAGGAGCAGCTTTGGTTCAAGTACATTCCCTGCACAGTGCTGGGGAGCCAGCCAATGCCAGAGAATTGAACTCTTACAGTGGTTAATATATAACATTTATGTTATACATACTATCACATTTTTTAAACAAGTGAATTCTGCCATTTGCTGGATATGTGACATTAGACAAGTATTTTAACTACGTGAAGTTCAGTTCTTTTTTCAGCCTATTCATACAAGTCATAACTTGATTAGCAAAACATTAACCTTTCTTTTATTGCAAACCTTTAAGACTACTATCAAAGTTGAATGCAAGGATGCCAATGAAATTTGCAGGAAATGGTGAACGCAACTGGTTTTTTTTCCTCTAAGTTCTGAGTGCATAAAATCCTCACCCAGTGTATAAAAATGTTACAGGAATTTACTAGCAAATTTGGGGGAAGTTAATGTGCTGTGCTTCTCCAGAGTCACCCAAGAGAAAGAGAATCTGTTCCTTTTCTTTCACATCAAGCTAAGACACTTTAACGAAATCATTTGCTTGCAAGTTTAAATGTAAAAGCAAACAAGAAACTTTCCCTGTCAAGAGAAATGCAGATGGGAGATCATCCACAAGATGAGGTGGAAGTGGGGGGTCTGGGAGGACCCCATAAAAGCTCCTCATGAGAGAAGAGCACTTGAACGCGCCCCAAACGCGGAAGAGCGCAATGCCAGCACACAAGCACATCCATCACGTCAGTCTCCCTGCTCATTGCTTTCTTCCCTCCCCAGCTGCTCATGGGCTGCTTGGGGTGGAGAGGATGGGCTCTGGGAAGAGCAGTGAGACGGGTGGGCTAGAAGGACAGAGGACAGCCAGTGCAAATGCAGGCCTCCGCGGCCTCAGAAGTCTCTGACAGAGCTTCTGAGCTTCAGAAATTCTCACTGTTTGTGGGCAAACATAGGAAACCGTAGATTTCCTAACTACATGGATGCAGCATAAACAAAAGCAGCAGGTGCGGATGTGGAGTGGCAGATGCCTCCGTAGGCATCTAGATTGCGAGAGAACCATCCCTCAGTCCCAGACCCAGCGCCTGAGCAGGGAAACAAAATGAAGAGTTACGTTTCTGAAGGCGAGTCTTACCACTTGGCTTCCTTTCCTGCAATTCACTTTAGGCCATTTTGGTCCCCTACCGCATCCCTAATCACTGGTACTGGCTGTTCCTGCCTCGCATAGCATCCCATATCCCCCAGTCCCGATTCCTGCCTTACTGGGGTTGAGCAGTAGGATTTGAATCTCCTGTGTTCCTTTTTAAGGAACAGAAAGCACTAGAAAGCACTTCTTCGTGCCCGCTGTTTCTGCTTCTCGTGTGTCTGACACCGTGGAACTTTTGCAAGATGTCAGGAAGAATAAGACAGTCTCAGCTTCGGTGCCCGCAGCTGGAGATATAATTCTGAAGTCATGAGTTTACACTAGTAATATATGTACACAAGTCGCTACAGTTGTACACACAAAGGAGATAGTTATTCTTCTTCTGGATTTAGGAAAAGCTGAAGAAAAAGTTGAATGCATTAAATCCTCTTTCACAGGAGATCATCTTCATGCCCAAGGAGTAGGATTCCTTCACCAAAGTTTTACAATGGTAAATGGTGGCTCCGTTTTAACCACCTCAATGAGGTTCTTGTCTCTAAGTTGTGGGAAGAATGTAGGGTGTTGTGTGATGGACGAGTTTTCAGTGAGCTGCCCTGCTGATCCCACTGCTGTATCCAAAAGGTCACTACTAAAATCATCTCTTTGCAATTATATCCCCATTTCAGAAGCTTCCGATAACTGTATATACTAATGTTCAGATATGAGTTTTGGGGGTACCTGTGCATGCATGCTGTGCAACTGATACGTGATTTTGTGGTCAGCTGGCAAGCACAGCCTCACCTAGAACTTGGAGACAAGTGTTTGTGCTCCAGCCCACTGGCCTTCATTAAGATCCTGTCTCTACTGCTCTACTTAAAGTGCCGTTTGGTTTCCTCATCTACAAAATGAAGATGCCCTGAAGACTTGGTGTGCGGTACCTAACAAGCACTTAGCAACAGAGATTAGTTCTGTCTCACCAGGATGGATGAAAGATCAGTGGAAACGCAATCCAAACAAGGGAAAAGTGTGTGGAAAAAGAGGGCAAAAGCAAGAGTTCTTAAAAGAAAAGAAACAAAGTCTAAGGCAGTTGAAAAGAATGATGACCGTCTTTAGAGTCACATTGTGCTTGAAATATTCCAGTGGAGGAGAAATGGGGCAGACTTATGTTTTCTGATAAAACTATTAAGATTTATATTAAAATTTAAACTTAGAGCAAGTCTAAGTACACTGACTGATATCCTATAGTGTCTGTCTTTGCACTATTATATATGAAAATACTCTTTCAGACTCAAGCACATACACCCCAAATGGATCATGAAAACCATTATGTGACTTAGCATATATTTTCCCTATAACTTCATTCTCTGATAAATTTTATAAACCCACAATTATGATATACCTAATCCTTAATTACCTAACTGTTCCCCTTTTATTTAATGATGGTATTTGTATTGTTTTATTACGCAAATTCATAATTATATCCATAAGTACATTATTAACTGAAAAACTCACTTTTACATTGAATTATTTCAAGTAATACCCTATATGTTATACCCTATAATGCTTGTTGTCTTAAAAGCCCTGCTTCAAACTGAGTTAATTTTTATTCTCAAAATAATTTTTTGTCAAAAAAAAAAACAAACCATTCCCTTCTTCATTAAATTCTGGTGCAACTTTGTGCTTCATGACAGGGAAAGTATGAGAGCAAAATGATTCACAATCTTAAAGTCTTTTGACTTTCTTTATAAAATTGCTTGCTTTCCTCTGAGATTAATGGACTGTCAACAGGATCAGAGCAATGACTGAAACTTTAAAATATGGAAGGGTGACCCCTAGCGGTGGCCTTCAGAAACCAAATTCATAGGAAGCTCCAAAAACAGGGAAGAAACTTGATGTGCTATAAAGCAAGTCAAAATGTCAACCTTACTTACCTTAATTGTCTTTAGAAACATAAATATTATTTAAGATATTATTAAAACACTTTAAGAGAATGTTTCAAACAACAATCTCGCCCACCTAAAGTCTCTTTCACTCAAAGCAAATGTATAAATCAAAAAGAATAAAACAAAAGGAAAAGACATAACAACTTGGTTGAATGAACAGAAATAAAATTAGCCAAGCAGAAAAATAAAGCCTACCTATTAACTCCACATTAAACTGAGTAAAAATTATATTGAAGCCACAGCAGTAAGCTTACATGAAATAAGAAGAAAATCTTGAACAAATCATTTACTTCTTAGTAGGTTTTTGCATTGAAAACTTCACCTTCATTCTGAAGGTCACCTGTCCTGCACAAAAAGAAAAATGGTTCAGCTTAAAGACCTGTCACTTGTGACAAAATGAAATGAAATGAGAGGTCAGAAGTAACTGACTGCATCATTTGAACTCATTGTCACTCAACAAGAGGGGACTTTGGCAAAAAGAGGACATGCTGGGACAGAGAAATCTTGTATGTGAAGCAAAATTCTTCCTGGAGAAAAAATAGAGTACATAAGGAAGCCTGGAGTTCTTTCCCATTTAGTTTTATTACCATTATTTCCTAAGGCATCTGACTGGAGCTGGCTTGGGCAGTTTAGCACACAGCTCAGCAGAAATACGACATTTAATGCTCTCCTTGCGAGCTTCCAGTGCCAATGTGACATGACAGTTGCTTAAGCAAAGTTACTTCCTTTCACCCAAATGGACAGGAAGAAAAAGCACAGAATGATGGGAGGATCAAGAATGAGGAAGACACTGAATACAGTGAGGAAACTGCCCAGTCAGACGGGTAGGTAGGACTTAAAGAAGAGAATTGTTGTCATTGGTTAATAACCAATATCAGCCATTGCTTATACAACCCATTTAGTGCTTAAGATCTGGAGGAATTTCCTTACCTTATTCTAATGCTTCTGAGAGAGAGAGAGAGAGAGAGAGAGAGAGAGAGAGAGAGAGAGAGAACATTTCACTGGGTGAATCATTCACAGTTGTCACTTTCAGCATAAATGCTGGCTGCACTGGCAAACAAATTGTCATTTAAATCCTCAACCGGTACCGGAGTCCCTAAATTTGGATCCAAATGGATTTTCCTTTTTTTTACGTGTATAGCCTCAGATTTTTACCCTGTAGTTCCCTCTTCACCTTTATCGAACAAAGTACTGTATGCCTTTTCTTGTTTCACATAAATGGTTTACTAGGGTAAACATCTGTGATCTAACCTGTAATTATAAATTATTTAGGTCACGCATGCTAAATTATTTAAACTAATACTTTGAAAGAATTGCATCTATATTAACAAGAAACAAGAATTTACTCTTTAAGATTATTTAGCACCAAAAGATTTATTTTACCCTGTTTATGTTTCTGATTTCAAACACTTGAAAGAAAAAAATCCTTTTTAAATCTGCATTTTAATGTATTTTTTGAAATAATTTATTCAAACTGGTTGCCTTGAGTTCCTGCTGTCATTATACACCTTGCAATCAAGGACTTTCAATTATAAGCAATATGTCCATCATGAAAATTTTCATTTATTTAGCAAGAAGGTAATCTTTAATAGGTGCATACATAATTTCATTTTGCATGACTGATTTACCTGCCTACTAATGCTCATTCTAGCAGAGCATTAGCACTCTCTTAGAACTTCTGTTTCTTTAAAAGCCTGCAGCAATTCCTTCCGGTGATTAATTTCATAAGGCACTGAAATGGCCTCTTTGAAGTTCAGTTTTCACGAGGCACAGAAATCCTAGGAAGAAGCTTTTGCACACAATATGCTTTTTTCTCACATGTTACCCCCACAAATGCTGAGAGTTAACCACAAACACAGTGCTGTAGAGATGTAAGGACACATGGAAAGTAACATTATTGACACAGCACATCTGGAGGAATTGATTGACTAAAGATTTGGTGAAGTGAATGAATCATTTTTTCATACTTGAAACAATAATTTTATATAAAATAAACATGCCATAAAGTGAAATTCTGCAAGGATTCAATTATACAGTTAAAACAAGGGACTCCAGTGATTAATATTTAGTATACATCGACATTTCATGTTTGTTGATGTGCCCTAAACTACTTCCCCAAGTCTTGCGGGTTGATAGAAATTTTGTTCTCTGTTTGGAGTAAGTGTATGGAAAGGTTTGAGTTTCCCAGTTTGGACTCTTTTGGGAAATAACATACAAAGTTATTAAATTAAAAATTGTGTGTTTATATCTGTGTGAAAAAGGGCAGTACTCTTTACAGGAAAAAAAATAACACAGATGGAAGGTAGGTAGGTAGATGGACAAGTGAGAGAAGGACAATCAGACAGAGAACTTCAATGGAGGGTGAGGAACAAATCTAAGGGTTGCATAGGGAATTTGGGGCAGATGCTGGGGAAGCTGGGGAAGAACTACAGCTTACAATGGATGCTTCTGGGTGGGTTCAGAATGGAAGACCAGACCAAGTGTCTGGAAGATGGACCAACAAAAGTAAAGTTAGGAACCAAAAACCACCCCATGGATAAAAGGCTGCCGTCACAGTTGTGTGAAAGCCTAATTTCCATTAATATCTTTCTTAGTCACTTTCCTAGTTGCTGAGACAAAACACCTGACACCCACAATTTAAAGGACAGGTCAATTTCAGCCTGCAGTTTAGAAGTTTCAGTCTATGTTTCGCTCAAACACAGAAACCACATGGCAGAAAGGGCCTGGGTGAGGAAAAGCTGCTCATCTCATGGCAACCAGGAAGGAGAGGGTGGAGCCCGGCAGGGGGAGAAACCCTTCCAGGTCCCAGCCCTAGTGACCCACTTCTTCATATAGACCCACCTCCTCGTGACAGCCACCTGAGGACCTCCCATCATCCTGTCACCTTTCAAAGATGTCCCCCAAAGCTCCCTGCGCTGAGAGGCAGGGCTTATAAAAGGTGACATCTTTGAAACAGAGACTTTTGATACAAAGCTCAGACTTTTATCTATTGATCTACACAGTGAAAATGTCTAAGCAATAACTTAAATATAGAAGGTGCCATAAAGTTAGGCAGAAACTTTGTTGTTTGGTTGCCTAAAAGTCCCCACATCATCTTGATTCAGTCAAGAGAAGGCAATTTAGGGATAACATGAAATGAGATAAATGTAGGATCTTATACGTAAGTCGAAGCATTCAACGGCAGGAGAGATGGTGTGGCTTTAGTGAAATGAGGATGAACCTAGTCTAACAAGGTCGGACACTGACTACCAGCAAGACAAGTTGTCCTAATGAAATACCTTCTCTCACCTGGGCCTCTCACTAGTCTATGTCTTTATGACTCTAATTCTAGGTAGAGAGACACATGTTTTTCCAATCGTCACTACCAAATTCATGATTTTTCCCCAGACTTGACTTGTACTTTAAATTTAAAAATCTGTATTCTTGTTGGAATAAAATCGCAATGCTGTACTGTATCTAATATACAGTAAAAAAGAAAAACCAAAGCCTCATCTGTTGACATTTAGATATATATATCTTCTGAGATAGTTTATGTGTATAAATATCCTTAAAAACAGAAATATAGATTTTAAGCAAATTAAAATTGTATTAGTTTAACTCGCCTTCTTTCTTTAGTAAAATATCCAATCATCAATAAATCAATATCTACCTCTCTGCTTGATTAAAGGATAGTACATTATTTATCTAGATAAATAATATACCACAATGGTCCCTCTCAACATTGTAGCTAATGGCTGTCATACTGCGCATGAGTCTCTATTTGGACTCTTGGGAAATGACATAAAAAGTTATTAAAATAAAAATGTAAGTGCACGTATCATATCTATGTGAAAATCAAGGACAGTTTGCCCGTACTGATAAATTTAATTCAATTAAATTGAGAATCGATATTAAATTTTTTACCTGAGTAACACTCTATTTATAGATTAATTTTAGGATCACTGACAGCTATACATAGTGAGTTTTCCTATATAAAAATATCCTGCATTTCTTACCTCTCAGGTCAGAAATTCTCAATACCCATGTGATATGCTATGTTTCTGTTAATGGTTTTCAACCCATTAAAGAAACATGGCTGTAGGCCTCTAGTAAACTTTAACTTTTAAATTATATTTTACATGGGAAATTTATCATAAATGAGCTGACGTGTGTAAATGACTCCCATCTGTGACAGTTTAAGCTGCTGTTAAAGCTAGGGTCGACACAGAAATCAGATTCTTACCATTTCTCAGAAGCAATTCCTAAAAACCTAATACTTTCCCTTCTCTGAAGATTTCAAAGAAATTGGTCATAACATCATCTAATCCTGGTAACTTTCCCAAGTACTGGTTTCATCTGTAATTGTTGCTGCATTTAGGTTTTCTTTTATAAGATTACAACTCAGTAGTTTCTATTTTCTGAAAGATAACCCCAGTTAGTGCAGTTTTTAAGTTGTTTTATCAAGAAGTTGCTGAAAACATTCTAATATTTTCCCTACTTCTAATCTCTTTTAATTAGAGTCAATTTCTTCACCACAACAATACAGTACCAATATTTTGGGTGTCTAATTCATGTTAGGCACTCTTAATTAAAGTTTTTAAATAACTTTTTGAAGTAGGTACCACATTTTCCCCATTTTTCAGATCAGGAAACTGGCATAAATCAGTACCTTACTTGTCCCATGTCATCCTCAGAACATGCGGCCTGCCAGGGGTTCAAACACAGAGCTTGTTTTCTTAACTTGCCTGCTGCAAGTATCTGCCTTCTAGAGTGCTCTTCTGGCTGTCAATGCCGCAGTTTTCGAAGGGAAGCTCCCCATGGGTCCTGTGCCCTGCCAGTTTCACAAGAGACCTTCTCTGGAGCAGAGGTTTTCAGACATTGCCTCATCGATCTCCGTAAGAATTTTCAAGTTGTCACATAGGATTTTTCATCATACATTTAAGTAGTTGTGAAAAGATAACTTTCTGGCTCTTGCAAATATGTTACTATACAATAAAACTCCTACGCCACTTTAAAACTATCTAGCCTGATCTGAATGTCATAAAGATTTAACACCTCATTCCACTTTTTAAACTTTTCTTTATAAATAAAAATTATACACCCTTCCTCTTTTTCTTAGGTATCTTTCATTTTCCATCATAAAACTTTATACTGGGTCAGTAAATATTTTTATGTTTATTTGTTATCCATTAATGTATTTCTATAAGAAAACTGGGCATATAAATTTAATGTTTCAGTCTCTTTGATTATAAATTTCTAACTACTAAATTAACATTTTCTTGGAATAGTCTGTTATAATTAGTTGTAGTCATTTGATTAAAACAACAAATAAATTTTGACAATTTTCAATCTTGAAAATATAAACTTCATTGAAAATTTATTTCTTAATGAAATGGGTAGAAAGAAAGCATTTCTGATTTTTTAGTTTTTTATTAATAATTCATATGATTGATGAAATGCTATTATTTTTAACATGATAGTGTTCGATAACAATGACAGTTATTTTTTCTGTTTTCATCTTTTCAACATAAGTGCTGAGAAAGCTTATTCACATAAGCTATTAACAGATCCTAGAGGTGGTTCTGATTCAGCAACACTAGGCAATTCTTTGCAATCATTATTGCATTCATTATTTACCTCATATGACATATGTCATGTCATTACCTGACAAAGATTATTATATTCTTTCAAATACTATTTTTAATGAATCATCAAAGGAAACTGTTAGTTTCTTCATAGTTTGTATTCAACTTAATACAAAAAATTCCATGATCTGCAAGAGGATTTCTTACGCAATCATTAGGCATTCACTTTCTCAGTGCCAACACCAGTATTTCCAGTTGTGAAACCAAACCTAGCTGTTTCACACTCTGGAATGATCCACATTGTCATACTCAAGAAGACTGAGTGAGGCTTCTTTCTTTCTTTGTATGAAAATAAAGATCAGAGCAAAGCATAATTATTTACTGGGTTTTTTTAGACACACCAACTTTAAGAAAGAATATCTGTAGAGGATGAAGGTATGCAAATTGATTCTCTTTGCCTGAGAATCTGAGGATTATTTGACATATCTGCACCTGTGGTGAGTGACACAACCCCATGTGGAAACAACTGCTCTATGTCCTCTCTGACCACTCTTTATTTAAGATTAAATTTAAAATTTAGCAATTTTAAGTGCCAAATTTCCAAGAAAAACATAGAATTGGTCCAGCATGAGTGAGTTTCCTAGTCCATGCACAATGAATCACAGCTGCGTGGAGACTCACATACCACACGTGGAGCCACCGAGCCTCGATCTGCATAGATTGAAGGCCAGGCCCCAAAAAGACAGAGCTGTGGGCAGGAACATCCTCTCCAGAATGATCAACAATTACCTCTCGTTTTTCTTCTTCAAACTGGCCAACTTTAATCTATGTTTTACTTACAGTTAGGTCCCATGTAGAGCCTACTTCATCTGTCGCACATATATTATTTTATCTTACTTTGTGAAACTTTCTGCTTTCCTTCAGCTGGGGTTTATTGACTTTTTTAAATTTATTAAGTTTATAGGTACATTTTGAGTATACAATATGATGACATTCATCAGTGGGAATTTGTACTTTTACATAATATATCTTGGTTCTTATTTTTTCCCCTTTCCCCTGCCCTCCCTTTAACCCCTCCCTATTTACAAAGACTTGTTTTTGGTTTTTGCCTTTCCTCATATTTTTTCCTTTCTCTTCTTCCTCTTCCCTTATCCCTTCTACTTCCCCTTCCCCTTCCCCTTTGGACCTTTTCTTCCTATTTCACATTATCTATTATACATTTTGATCCTCATTTACACTTTCAGTTTCTCACACCAGAGAAACTATTCAGTATTTACACATGTGTCCTATTTATTTCACTTAAGAGTATGGCCTCAGGCTTGGGATTTAGCTCAGTGGCACCAAAAAAAGAGTATACCCTCAATGTGCATCCATTTAGCTATAAATGTCTCTAGTTTCTCATTCTTTAGGATTGAGTAGTACTACATTTTATAAAACAAAAAAACAAAACAAAACAAAAAAACACATCTTCTTTATCCAGTCACTAGTTGATAGGCATTTGAGCTGTTTCCAAGATTTAGCTATTTCAAACTGGGCCACTATAAACATGGGTGTGCATATATCAATGTGCTGTGATGCTTTTAATTCTTTGGGAAAGATACCCAGCAGGGGAATAGCTGGGTCAAATGGGACTTGCAATCCTAGTTTTTTGAGGTATCTCCATACTGATTTCCATAGTGGTTGCACCAGTCTGCACTCACACCAACAATGGAGAAGGGTTCCTTTTTTCACACAGCCCCACCAGCATTTGTTATTGGTTGATCTTTTGATAGCAGCTATTCTTTCTGGGGTGGGGTGGAATCTCAACGTTGTTTTCATTTGCATCTTTTGAATGACCAGTGATGTTGAACATACTTTCATATGTTTATTTGCTATTTCTACTTCTTCATCTGAGAAATGTCTGTTCATCTCAGATGACCATTTTTCGATTGGGTCCCTAAATTTGAGAGGTGTAGTTTTTTTAAGTTCTTCATATATTCTAGATAGTAGATCTTTGAGGAACAGCTGGTAAAAAATTTTTCCCACATTGTAGGTTGTCTTTTCATGTTGTTGGTGGTTTCTCTTGCTGTGTAGAAGTTTTTAATAAGATGAGATCCAAGTTGTTGATTCTCTGTTCTAGTTCATGTGCTACTGAGGTTTTGTTCATAAAGTCTTTTCCTATGCTAATATCTTCAACGTTCTACATATCTTCCAGCCAGTTTAGTGTTTCTGTTTTAATATTTAGATCTTTAATCCATTTTGATTTTAGTTTAGTGCATGGTGAGAAATATAGGTCTAGTTTTAATCTTTGGCAACTTGAAACTCAATTTCTCCAGCACCATTTATTAAAGAGGCTATCTTTCCTCCAGTGAGGGTGTTTGGCTCCTTTGTCGAAGATGAGGTAGCTGAGTGTGTCTGGTGTTGTTTCTGCATCTTCTAATCAGTTCCACTGGTCCTTGGGTCTGTTTCTTTGCCAGTACCATGCTGGGGGTTTTTTCCTTTTTTTTTTTTCTTTCTTCTCTCTCTCTTTTTTGGGGGGGGGGTACATTTTAGATATACACTCTAATGACATTCATCATTGGGAATTTGCACCTTTACACAATCTCTCTTGGTTCTTATTTTCCCCCTTCCCCTGCCCTCCCTTCAACCCCTCCACCCCTCCCTATTTACAATAGATAATGTGAAATAGGAAGAAAAAGGGCACAGGGGAAGGGGAAGTAGGAGGAGTAAGGGAAAGGAAGGAAGGGAATGGAATTAATATGAGAAAATGAAAAATGGAAACAAAGTTGTACCATGTTGTTTTTATCACAGTGGCTTTGTAGTATAGTTTCAAGTTGGAGATTGTGATACTCCCTGTTGTGTCTCTGTTGCCTAGAATTGCTTTTGCTATTCTAGGTCTCTTTCAGTTCCAAATGAATTTTTGGATTGTTTTCTCAAGATCTGTGAAGTATGCTGTTGGAATTTCAATTGGGGTTGCATTGAATTTGTATAGCAGTTTGGGGAGTATGGCCATTTTCACTATATTGATTCTTCCTACCCAGGAGCAAGGGATATTTTCCATTTTCTGATATCTTCTTCTATGTGTTTTACTGTTATGAATTTGTCCACAACACCACTCAAATTCTTGCCTATGGGTTTTAATAGATAGTAATTTGTTTTAGTAGTTTGGAGGCACAATTTGTATAGTAGATATACATCTGCCTTATATTATAGTACAATGCAAGAATATAAAGAAGCAATAAAAGGAGAGATCTGTAATGATTGTTTATTTTGCAAAGCAGTAGTTTAAAAATGCAGCTTAATAAGTTTACTATTTCTCAACAAACTAACTGAGAAGACAATTTATTTACTGAGCACCAATCCTTAACCTATGCTTGGTAACTTGATCTTTCAATAAAAATGATGGAATATTTTAAATCACTCACAAGGATGAAATGCTTTGCAAATTTTCATGTCATCTCTGCTCAGGTTCCAGGTTATTTTTTCCTGCATCATTCCAATTTCAGTGTATATCTTGCTGAAGTAAGCAAAATAATCTTAATGTCATTAATTCTGAATAATCTACAATTTCAATTGATTTGCAAAAGCAAGGCCATTTTAGAGAAGCCCCGCCCTGGCCTCCTTTTCAAGCACTAGAGATTGAACCCAAGGATTTTACACTGAGGTACATCCACAGCCCTTTTTTTTTGTTTTGCTTGTTTTATTTGCAGAAAAGATCTCACTAAGTTGGCCAGTCAGGGCTTGAATTTGTGATCCTCCTGACTCAGCCTCCTAGGCTGCTGTGATGATAAACGCACACCACCATTCCCAGTCTCTACAGTTTTCTTGTGGAAACTTATCTTTTGCCAAGACTCCTAAACAACTTCCTGCCAATCCACACTTGCCTATTGTCAAATGTCAACACAGCACCCACAGGTTCATGTTAAATTATGAATAGTTCACAGCATGTTGTAATTATACTGAATAACAGATTTTCATCAAGTTTAGAATAAATTCCAAGCTCTTTATCATAGCTTAAACTTCTCTGCTTCATTTGGGTGCTCAAACCTCTCCATTCTCATATGCCATGACTCCCTGATTCTGACAACGCCGGCAGGCCAGCTTTTCCTGGAACACCAGAGCTTGCTGCCATGGAAAGACATTGAAATTGCCCTTTCCTGAGCTTGGGATTCTCTTTCTCCT